AAGCATCTAGACACAGACCTCAAACCCTTCAAAAAATGAACTCAAAATGGATTACAAAATTTAAACGTAAAAATTAAGACTATAAAACTTCTAGAAGATAACATGAGAAAATCTAGATGACCTTGAGTTTAGATCTTACACCAAAGACATGATCCATGAAAGAAATAATTAAAATAAATTGGACTTCTTTGCAACTAAAATTTTCTGCTCAGCACAAGACATTGAAGAGGATGAAAAGGCAAGCCACTGACAGAAGATATTTGCAAAAGATATAACTAATAAAGGGCTGTTAACCAAAATATACAAAGAACTCTGTAAACCCAGCAGTAAGAAAACAACTCAATTAAAAATGGGCCAAACATCTTAATATACACCTCACCAAAGAAGACATACAGATGTCAAAAAAGCATATAAAAAATGTTTCACATCATATGTCATCAAGGAAATGCAAATGAGATACTACACAAATACTAAATGGCCCCAATCCAAAATACTGAAAACATCAAAGCTGGCAAGAATGCGGAGCAACAGGCACTCTCATTTATTGCTGGTGAGAATGCAAAATGGTATAGCCACTTTGGAAGATAGTTTGACCATTTTTTTAAAAAAACTAAATATGCTCTTACATAAGATCCAGCAGTTGTGCTCCTTAGTATTTACCCACAGGACTTGAAAGCTTATGCCCACCCAAAAACCTGCACATGGATGTTTATAGCAGCTTTATTCATAATTGCTCACATTTGGAAGCAACCAAGATGTTCTCTGGTAAACGAATGGATAAACTGTGGTACATCCAGACAATGGAATATGATGCAGCACTAAAAAGAAATGAGCTATGAAACCATACAAAGACATGGAGGGAACATAAATGCATTTCACTAAGTGAAAGAAGCCAATCTGAAAAGGCTGCCTATGGTATGATTCTGCCTATATGACATTCTGGAAAAGGCAAAACTATGGAGATTATAAAAAGATCAGTAGTTGCCAGGGGTTGGGGGGAGGGAGGGATAAATAGGGAGAACACAGGATTTTTAGGGCATGACACCACTCCATGATACTATAACAGTGGATGCATGTCATTGCACATTTCTCAAAACCTTTGAATGTACAACACCAAGAGTGAGGCCTGATGTAACATATGGACTTTGGGTGACAATGATATGTCAATGTAGGTTCATCAGTTGTAACAACTGTACCTTTTTAGAGTGAGATGATGATAATGGAGGTTATGCATGTGTGGGAGCAAGGGGTATATGTAAATCTCTTTTCTTGCAATTTTGCTATGACCCTAAAACTTTTAAATAAAGTCGTATATATATATGCATATGTATATGTATATGTAGTCACACCAAGAGTCTAGTAAGTAGGGTTGGTTTTTTCCACATTATTTCAGTTTTCTGACATTAATAGTGTTGGTGCAACATAACTGAATTATATATCCACACTAATATCATCCTGCCATATTCTAGCTCTTATAAGATTTGAGTGCGTAATCAGCATGGATTGAAATGTTAATTAGTGAGAATCAGATTTTTTTTTTTTTTGAGATGGAGTTTTCACTCTTGTTGCCCAGGCTGGAGTACAACGGCACAATCTTGGCTCACCGCAACCTCCTCCTCCCAGGTTCAAGTGATTCTCCTGCATCAGCCTCCTGAGTAGCTGGGATTACAGGCATGTGCCACCACCCCCAGCAAGGAGAATCAGATATTTTTACCAGCATCTTGTCTAGATTCTCTAAGCCTTAAAAATGAAGAAGTGGCCAGACATGCTGGCTCACACCTATAATCTCAGCACTTAGGGAAGCTGTGATAGGAGGATCGCTTGAGCCCTAGAGTTTGAGACCAGCCCTGGCAACATAGTGAGATCTCAGCTCTACAAAAATTTTAAAAATTAGCTATGTGTGGCTGCACGTGCCTATAGTCCCAGCTAGTCAGGAGGCTGAGGTGGGTGGATCGCTTGAGCCTGGGAGGTTGAGGCACAGTGAGCTGTGGTTGTGCCACTGCATTCCAGCCTGGGTGACAGAGTGAGACCCTGCCTCAAAAAAAAGAAAAAAAGAAGAACTAAAAAGCATATGTTAGAATTAGAAATACACACACACACACACACACACACACACACACACACACACACCATTAGACCCAAGGAAAATGGAACCAAGTTTAGCAACATAGAGGAAAACAGTCTCCTACATAAAGCAGCTGGCTATTCAAGACTTTATGAAAAAAAAAGTCAGTACCCCTTTCAACTATGTTAGGTAGCAAAGAATGGTAAATGCCAAGTATAGTAGGACAAATATAGATGTTACAGGTAACCAATATTTTTTTTAAACTAATGCTAAGAGTTTTTCCATGAGCACTTCATTATGGAACTCTCATATGGATTGCTGAGTATAAATACATAACTGCTTTAAGAGCTTTTTTTCCTCTTTTCAGTTATCTTTCTTTATTCTCCTCCTGTTTATATCTGTCAGAGAGAGAGAGAAAGAGAGAGAAGCATAAAGCAAATATGCACATTTTAAAAATAGAAAGCAAACATCCATATAATCATCATCAAAATCAGGAAATAGGACATTGCTGGCCCCCAAGAATGCCCCGTTTAAACTGTCTTTCTGTGCTTCTGTAAGACACAACAGTGACACAAGAATACTCTTGTTTCCTTGGTGTTGTTAAGTGAGCAATCAACAAGCACAGGTGCATCAAGAAAATGCATATGTTTCATCATAAAATTTGTATTTACTGTTATCATCGCTCTCCACAAAAAGCTGACTCTGCAATCAAAATTGTGTACTAATATGGGAGACAGCTGCGAGGCAAAATACAGTAGTGAACTTCCATGTGCCAGGTAGTGCTAGGATGTAGATGCCTTTTTAACAAAGGCAGCATTGTTTCTTAAAATCTGATGTAAAAATAATAGGGGGTGGAGGGGATTATTCACTTCAGGAAGTATTCTTCCTAGGATTTTATAATATAACTCCACCCTGCCAACTCTGGAGGTCTGGGGGATCTTCTCCTCCTGGCTTCTCATTCTCCTTCCTTCTCTTCCCTCCTTTCACATATCCTCCTATTTATTTATTTTCTTTGAGACTGAGTCTTGCTCTGTTGCCCAGGCTGGAGTTCAGTGGCAAGATCTTGGCTCACTGCAAGGCCCCTGCCTCCCAGGTTCAAATGATTCTCGTGCCTCAGCTTCCCAAGTAGCTGGGATTACAGACACCCACCACCATGCCTGGCTAATTGTTGTATTTTTGCAGAGATGGGGTTTCGCCATGTTGGCCAGGCTGGTCTTGAACTCCTGACCTCAAGCAATCCACCTGCCTCGGCCTCCCAAAGTGTTGGGATTACAGGCATTAGCCACTGTGCCTGGCCTCTCTGGTCTATTTTAACCAGTTCCTGACATTCTCATATCATACCTTTGGGCTAATGTTCCTTGACCGGGGGGCAATGGAGCCACCCAGATTGTTTGCAATGATTTCCTGATGGAAAGAGTCTTAGATGTGAGGCCTCACTTTCTTGGAACACCCTTGCTTTAGCTCCTGGAGGAAGTCCTGCCTTTCTTAAAGGCCTCCCTCAAATCTCATCATCTTTGTCATCTTGAAGTCACCCAGTTGGGTTTAATCTCTTCCTATCCCCATATCTTCAATCTGTCTTTTAGCACTGATGACAGTGTTATGTTAGAATTGTTTCTATAGGTGCCTCTCACTCCTGCTGGTCAGGAACTGTATCTCTCTTAACCACTGTATTCCCTATTACTAGTCCTGCGCTTTACCCCGGTTGAATTGATTTGTGAATCTAGTATATTTAAAATGTGATCACTGCTGGGCGTGGTGGCTCACATCCGATTTGGGAGGCCAAAGTGGGAGGGTTCCTTGAGCTCAGGAGTTTGAGACCAGCCTGGGCAACATAGCAAGAACTTCGTCTCTTTTAAAAACAAGAAAATTTGCCAGGACGGTGGTGTACATCTGTTCCCAGCTATTTGGGAGGTTGAGGTGGGAGAATCACTTGAGCCTGGGACTTCGAGGCTTCAGTGAGCCATAATGGTGCCACTGCACTCTACCCTGGGCAACAGAGTAAGACTTTGTCTCTAAATAAATAAAAATAAGATGTGATCAGTCCAGGTACAGTGGATCACACCTGTAATCCCAGCACTCTGGGAGGCTGAGGTGGGAGGATTGCTTGAGCCCAGGAGTTCAAGACCAGCCTGGGCAACATAGTGAGACCCTGTCTCTATAAAACAAAATCTCTACCAAAAAGGTCTCTACCAAAAAAAAAAAAAAAAAACCTCTGCTGGGGTTACAGATGTGTACAGTGGCATACACCTATAGTCTCAGCTACTTGGGATGTGGAAGTGGGAGGATCACTTGAGCCCAGGAGTTTGAGGCTGCAATGAGTTATGTTCACGCCATTGCACTCCAGCCTGGATGACAGAGAACCTATCTCAAAAAAAGAAAAAATGTGGCTGGGCACAATGGCTCATACCTGTAATCCCAGCACTTTGGGAGACTGAGGCATTGGATCACTTGAGGCTAGTAGTTCGAGACCAGCATGGCCAACATGGTGAAACCACTTCTTTACTAAAAATAAAGAAATTAGCTGTATGTGGTGGTACACACCTGTAATCCCAGCTACTCAGGAGGCTGAGGCAGAATATCACTTGAACTGGGGAGGTGGAGGCTGCAGTGAGCCGAGGTGGAGCCACTGCATTCCAGCCTGAGTGACAGAGCAAGACTCCATCTCAAAAAAAGAAAAAGAAAAAAATGTGATCAATTTGACATTTTCCTAGGCAGCATCTCAGGCATGTTGTCTATAAAATTCACCATGAAGAGTGAATATATGTTAAAATGTTTTGAAGCTTCACCTTTGGAAATGTACCTTTTCCTTTTCCACTATTAAAGAAGGAATTAGCCAATATTGTACGGTCATAAAATAAAAGATTATGGATGAGAGATAATGAAGTGAGTTTACAACCTCTGTTAATCTGTTGGTGTCCTTGTCCATTCTGTGCAGTCACTGCAGCTTTCGCCGGGGCAATACAATGTGCTTCCTGCACCAGTTCCCAAATATGCTTCCAGGTAACTATATACTTATTAAATACACTGCTTTCCACCATTTCATCATGCCTTTCTGCTTACATACCTACATGCCAATACTCATGGCTCTTAAACTTCATTTATGCACCCCATATGCAGATTAACATTTTAAAATATTTAATGAAAGATAGGGAATAATTTTAAAAAGATCTTTAAAAAATAGATTCAGAAAATCTTTTTTTTTTAATATAGGAGCTGTGCATTTCGTTCAGCAGTTCAAAGATTCCCAACAACCTATTTTGTTCCTGTAAGTATAATGTAGACAGTTAACTCATGATGAATTTGATGTTTAAAATATGCTGTGCTTTCTGGAATGGAGCAAGATGGCCAAAAAGAACCCTCCAGTGATCATTCCCCCAGCAGGAACACCAAACTGAACAACTATCCACATGAGAAAACACCTCTATAAGAACCAAAAAGCAGGTGTGGGATCACAATAGCACAATGACCAGGTTTTAACATTGCATCAGGGAAAGAGGCACTGAAGATGGTAAGGTAGAAAAGAGTGTTGAATTGCTGACACCACCCTCCCCATCCCCTGGCAGCAGCCAAGTGGCCTAAAGAGAGAATCTGCTCTTGGGGAAGAGGGAATGCAGTGATTGTGGGACTTTGTATTGGAACACAGTGCTGCCTGTCACAGGGAAAGCAACACAGGGCAGAATTCAGCTGGCGCCTGTGGCGGCAGCATTTAGACCAGCCCTAGCCAGACAGGAATTGCCCATCCCAGCCGTTAGATGCTGAGTTCCGGCTCTCCCCACCACTGTGGGCTGAAGTGCTCTGAGGTCCTAAATAAGCTTCAAAGGCAGTCTAGGCCACAAGGACTGCAATTCCTGGGCAAGTTCTGGTGCTGTGCTGGGGTCACAGGCAGTAGACTTAGGGTGTCTAAGACCTAGTGAGACACCAGCTGGGGCAGCAAAGGGAGTGCTTGTAGCACCCATCCTCCATCCCCAGGCAGCACAGCTTGCAGCTTCAAGAGAGCCTCCTTCCTTTCACTTGAGAAGAGGAGAGGAGAGAGTAAAGAGGACTTGCCTTGCAATCTGAATACTGGCTCAACCACAGCAGAATAGCGCACCTCAGGCAGAGTCCTGAGGCCCCCATTCTAGGCCCTAGCTCCCAGACAACATTTCTAGACACACCTCAGGCAGGAAGGGAATCCACTGCCTTAAAGAGAAAGACCTAGTTCTGGCAGCATTTATCACCTACTGACTAAAGAACCCCTGGGCTTTGAATAAACACCAACAGTGGCCAGACAACACTCACTGCAGGCCTTAGCCAGACAGTGCTCTGCTGCTTCCTGTGTGACCCAGCACATTCCCAGCTACAGTGGCCACAGGGAAAGACTCCTGCTTGAGGAAAGGAGAGGGAAGAGTAAAGGGGATTTTGTTTTGCAGCTTGGGTACCAGTTTGGCCACAGTGAAGTAGAGCATCAAATAGGCTCCTGGGGTTCCCAATTCTAGGCCCTGGCTCCTGGATGGCATTTATGGACTCCAGCTGGGCCAGAGGGGAGCCCACTGCTCTGAAGAGAGAGACCCAGCCCTTGCAGCATTCCCCACAAGCTGGCTGAAGAGCCCTTGGGCCTTGAGTGAACATTAGTGGTATCCAGGCAGTACTTGCTACAGGCCTGGGTGGTTGTGGCCATAGAGAGACTCCTTCTGCTTGAGGAAAGGGGAGGGAAGAGTGGGAAGAACTTTTGGGAAAGGACAGTCTCTTCAATAAATGGTGCAGGGAAAACTAGATATCCACATGCAGAAGAATGAAACTAGACCCCTCTCTCTTGCCATTTTACAAAAATCAAATCAAAATGGACTAAATACTTAAATCTTGCCAGGTATGGTGGCCAATGCCTGTAATCCTAGCACTTTGGGAGGCCAAAGCAGGAGGATCCCTTGAGCCCAGGAGTTTGAGACCAGCCTGGGCAACATAGGGAGACCCCGTCTCTAGTTAAAAACAAACAAACAGACAAACGAAAACTTAAATCTAAGACCTCAAACTATGAAACTATCAAAACAAAACATTGAGGAAACTCTAGGACATTGGTCTGGATAAAGATTTCTTGAGTAATACCGCACAAGCACAGGCAACCAAAGCAAAAATGGATAAATGGGATCATACCAAGTTAAAAGTTTCTGCATAACAAAGGAAACAATTAACAAAGTGAAGAGATGACCCACATAATGGCGGACAATATTTGCAAACTGTCCATCTGACAAAGGATTAATAACCAGAATACATAAAGAGCTCTTACAACTCAATAGGAAAAAGGTCTTTTTTTTTTTTTTGAGACACGGTCTTTTTCACCCAGGCTGAAGTGCAGTGATGCAAACATAGCTCACTGCAGCCTCGACCTCCCTGGTGCAAGCAATCCTTTCCCTTCAGCCCCTCAAGTAGCTGAGATTACAGGTGCATGCCACCACACCCAGCAAATTTTTGTATTTTTTGCAGAGATGGCATCTTGCCATGTTGCCCAGGCTGGTCTTGTGCTCCTGAGCTCAAGCCATCTGCCCACCTTGGCCTCACAAAGTGCTGGAATTACAGGCATGAGTCACCGTGCCCAACAATAATAGGAAAAAAATCTAATAATTTGTTTAAAAAAATAGGCAAAATATCTGAATAGACACTTCTCAAAAGAAGACATACAGATGGCTAACAGGTGTATAAAATGGTGCTCAACATCATTAATCATCAGAGAAATGCACATCAAAACTACAATGAGATATCATTGCATCCCAGTTTAAATGGCTTATACCCAAAATACAGGCAATAGTGAATGTTGGCGAGAATGTGGAGAAAAAGGAACCCTTGTACACTGTTGGTGGGAATGTAAATTAGTACAACCACCAGGAAGGACAGTACAAAAGTTCCTCAAGAAAGTAAACATAGGGCTACCATATGATCCAGCAATCTCACTGCTGGGTATATAGTCAAAAAAAAGAAATCAGTATGTTGAAGAGGTATCTGCACTCCCATGTTTGTTGTAGCACACTGTTCACAATAACCAAGATTTTGAACCAACTTAGTGTCCATTAGCAGATGAATGGATAAAGAAAATGTGGTACATATATGCAATGGAGTACTACACAGCCATAAAAAGAATGAGGTCCTGCTATTTGCAATAACATGGACGGAACTAGAGGTCCTTATGTTAAGTTAAATAAGCCATGCACAGAAAGGCAAACTTTGCATGTTCTCATGTTTTTGTAGGAGCTAAAAATTATTAATAAAACAATTGAAATCATGCAGATAGAGAGTAGAAGGATGGATACCAGAAACTAGGAAGGGTAGTGGAGGATGGGGAAGGGGGAAGTGGAGATGGTTAATGGGTACAAAGATAAAGTTAGATAGAATGAATAAGATCTAGTATTTGACAGCACAACAGGGTGATTACAGTCAACAATAATTTATTGTACATTTTTAAATTGGCTGGGCGTGGTGGCTCACACCTGTAATCCCAGCACTTTGGGAGGCCGAGGCAGGTGGATCACTTGAGGTCATGAGTTCAAGACCAGCCTAGCCAACATGGTGAGATCCCATCTTTGATAAAAATATAAAAATCAGCCAGGTGTGGTGGCATGTGCCTGTAATCCCAGCTACTCAGGAGCCTGAGGCAGGATAATTGCTTCAACCTGGGAAGCAGAGGTTGCAGTGAGCTGAGATCGTGCCACTGCACTCCAGCCTCGGCAACAGAGTGAGATTCCATCTCAAAAATAAATAAATAAAATAAAATAAAAATAAGAGTGTAATTGGCATGTTTGTAACACAGAGAAATGATAAATGCTTGAGGTGATGGATACTCCATTTACCCTGATGTAATTATTACACATTGTATGCCTGTTATCAAAATATCTCACGTACTCCATAAATATATATACCTACTATATAGCCATAAAAACTTTTCAAAATATCGCTTCTCTGCCTTTTGGCTGAAATCAAGTGTAAAAACTTTTCAAAATAAAATATACTATGAATCCTTTTGCTATAGTAAAATTAACATTTTGCTCATCATAGTAGATAACCTCTGAATGATTAATCCAATTGATTTAAGATATACATAAAGTATATCTGAAGATATGCGAGAAAGTAGTAACCAATTTGTGGCAACTTGTAGAAGAAAATGTTCATCTCCTTTACTTTTTTAGGTCTTGACTGAAATGCCACTTTCTCAAAAAGGCCTTCCCAAGTCACCTATTCAAATTTGCTGTCCCCTTCTTTGGTTTATTTTTTACTTCATAGCATTCATCACTGTCAGACACAATACCTTTTTAAATGTATCTATCCTGTTTTTATCTTTCTCCCTCACTAGAATGTAAGCTTATGACGGCAGGGATTTCTTTCCTGTATACCTAGCTCCTAGGCAAGTAACTGTCACATAGTATTTGTGAATTAAATAATTACATCGCTAGAGATATTCAATAGATCATGGTATTAACAAAAAGGAAGCATATCTGTTTCTTTCCTTTTAAAGATATGAAAATGCTTTCCTATTTCTAAATATTTCCAAATGCATGAACATGAGTTATGATAAAAATGAACTCTTTTAGATAAGTAGCTAGTCAGTAGGGTGACAAAAATATTAATAATTATATAAATCATCTGAAAGAACAATAAAATATAAAATTGGCTGGGCACGGTGGCTCATGCCTGTAATCCCAGCACTTTGGGAGGCCGAGGCAGGCAGATCATTTGAGGTCAGGATTTCAAGACCAGCCTGGCCAACATGGTGAAACCCCGTCTCTACTACAAATACAAACATTAGACAGGTGTGGTGGCATGGGCCTGTAATCTCAGCTACTCAGGAGACTGAGGCACCAGAATCACTTGAACCCAGGAGGCAAAGGTTGCAGTGAGCCAAGACCGCACCACTGCACTCCAGCCTGGGCAACAGAGTCTCAGTCTCAAAAAAAAAAAAAGAAAAGGAAAGAAAATATAAAATTGTTTTGGGATGGTTTGATGCACTATAGTTATTTTTTTGCAGTTACAAACTTGGGATAAAAAAAAGACCACAGAGCAAACATCTGCAAAAAAAAATTGAGATAACTGAACAGAGCTCAGAAAGAGACCCTAAAATATATTAATATATTAATACAAGATTTTTATATTTGATAAAGATGGTATGATGGGTCAGTAGGGAAAGGAAAGGTTATATTATGTTAACTTATTATTAAATAACTTGGAAAAAGTGTTAGATTCTCACTTCATAGCACACATTAAAATAAATTTCATATTGATTAAAGAATTAGATACTTTTAAAGCCATTAAACCAGGAGAAAATATATGAGTATATATCTAATATTAGGATAAGCAAACTTTCTGAGATAATAGCAATGGAAGCAATTTCAAAGGAAAAGAAATATTAGATTTAATTATATAACATTAAAAATTTTTTGTATCTCAGAAAACAAACTGCAAAGTTAACAGGCAAATGCAGACTAGGAAAAGTATTTTCAACATTCCTAGCAGATAAAGGATTAATAGCATTATCTATAAAATTATCATAACAATCTATAGGAAAAATAAAAAAGTAAAACAGATAAAGGACAGAAATAGACAATTCATAAATAAGAAATTCAGATATCCAATAAAGGTGAAAAATCTTTTGATCTCATTGACATTTAAGTGTGAGAGACTACAAGGCTGATAGAAAGCTCTGTATATGGGTGGTATAGAAGGCTAATTAATAGCCACCAAAGATATGTCTATGTCCTAACGCCTGGAATCTATGGATGTTACCTTACATGGCAGAGATTTTGCAGATGTGGTTAAGGGTTTGGGGATAGGGAGATTATCCTGTGCTCCAGGGTGGGCTCTAAATGCAATCACAAATGTCTTTATCAGAGTGAGGCAGAGGGAGATTACACACACACACACGCACACACACACACATACACACACACACGAGGAGAGGGCAATTCAAATACAGAAGATATTACAGTGGTGCAGCCACAAGCCAAAAAATGCTGGCAGCCACTAGAAGCTGAAAGAGGCAAGGAACAGCTTCTCCCTCAGAGCCTCTGGAGGTAGCACGGCCCTGCTGACACATAATTTTAGTCCAGTGAAACGGATTCAGACTTTCAGACTTCAGCCCCTAGTGATATGAGAGAATAAATTTCTGTTGAAGACACCAAATTGGTAGTAATTTGTTATAGCAGCCATAGTTAGTGAATACAGGTGGGGATTATCTCCAGGTGGGTTTCATATTGAATGGGTGGGATAAGGACCTGGCTATTCCTTTGATAGCCCATAAATGTCTGTATCTGTAGGTCTTTTCTCTAGGATATATTAGTTGATTCAAAATGACTCATCAGCCTCCTGCTTGGGGTTTAAGCCAGTTGTCAGTGTTCTGGGAGCTGAGTGGAGGGAGGGGCCTGGGGTCTCATCATTCAACGTGTAGAAGTTCACTTCATTCCAGTTTTTAGTAAAGGCCCACATCCTCACAGTGTTTGGGCTTGGGGCTCCTGAGTCCAGATTTTTGGTGCAGTCTCCCCAGAACTAAATTTCCTGTCTCCTGTAGGGATGTGGGAAGGGGAGTTGCCTGACAGCTAGGGGTGATGGAAGACAGGGACCTGAAGTAA